TATACATAGCAAGTTCTTAAAGCTTATACAAAACATTTAGTGAGGTAATAATGAATACTGTAATAATGTGTTCTGTTATAAATACATTGTGTGAAAGTTAGGATTTTTGCGTTATTTATCTTGGCATCCAACCACACATTTTTTTTTTAGTTTTATAACCTGGACAAAGAACGGGTAGTCAGCTTGTTTATATATATATATATATTCTATAATAACGTCCTACTTCGAACCCAGGTCACGTTTCGGACCTAGCCAACATAGAAAGGTTTTTCTTTAATTTTATTTTCCATACAAAAGTCCTACTTTGGATCCATACAGTTAAGATTTTTTTTTATTTATATATATATATTCTCCATACTAAGGTCGTATTTCATACCTTGTCAGTTAAGATAGCTTTTATTTATATCTTCCACAGGCCCTACTTCGAACCTAGCCAACATATAAAGGTTTTATTTAATTACATTTTTCATTTAAAGGTCATGTTTCTGACCCAAACAGCACAGAAAGGTTTATTTATTTGTATCTTCTACACTAAGGTCCTACATCTGACCCAACCAGCTAAGAAAGGCTTTATTTTGTTAATATTTTCCATACCAAAGTTCTACCTCTGACCAAAGCAGCTAAGAAAGGTTTTATTTTGTTTATATTTCCCATACCAAAGTTCTACCTCTGACCAAAGCAGCTAAGAAATGTTTTATTTTGTTTATATTTTCCATACCAAAGTTCTACCTCTGACCAAAGCAGCTAAGAAAGGTTTTATTTGTTGATATTTTCCATACCAAAGTTCTACCTCTGACCAAAGCAGCTAAGAAATGTTTTATTTTGTTTATATTTTCCATACCAAAGTTCTACCTCTGACCAAAGCAGCTAAGAAATGTTTTATTTTGTCTATATTTCCCATACCAAAGTTCTACCTCTGACCAAAGCAGCTAAGAAATGTTTTATTTTGTTTATATTTCCCATATCAAAGTTCTACCTCTGACCCAACCAGCTAAGAAAGGTTTTCTTTACTGATATTTTCCATGTTAAGTCCGTACTTCGGACTCAGCTAGCTAAGAAATATTTTACTTATTTAAATTTTCCATACAATGGTCCTACTTCGGACCCAGCCAGCTTATAAAAGCTTTATTTATCTATATTTTTCATACCAAAGCCCTACGTCGGATCCAGACAGCTAAAGATTAGTTTTTACTTATTTACATTTCCCCCTAAGATCCTGCGTAGGATCCAGACAGCTAAAGATTAGTTTTACTTATTTACATTTCCCCCCTAAGATCCTGCGTAGGATCCAGCCAGCTAAAGATTAGTTTTTACTTATTTACATTTCCCCCTAAGATCCTGCGTAGGATCCAGCCTAGCTAAAGATTAGTTTTTACTTATTTACACTTCCCCTCTAAGATCCTGCGTAGGATCCAGCCAGCTAAAGATTAGTTTTTACTTATTTACATTTCCCCCTAAGATCCTGCGTAGGATCCAGCCAACTAATGAGGTTTTACGTTGATATTTTCTTTCTCTCATGATCGTAATTTGGGATCCCGCTACCTGAGAGGAGTTCCAGCTAACTGGAAGCGATTTTAACTTAATATTCGACTACTTGAATTATTTTCGGTCCAATCAGAACATAACATTAATCTCAGGAGCCAGCTGGCTAAGAGCAACTTCAATAAGTTGAAACCTCAAATCAAAATCACTCCACTTTTTAATTTTCCTTAAATCTATAACAGTCAATCTATCAATAGTCGTGAATGGTAAAAATTAATTTTTAGGGAAATTCTACATTAGTGCGCTTGAATATATAAAAGTGTTGAAAAATGTGTTTGTTTTTAATGTTATGATTAATCCTGATGACTTTAAATAAATCCCTATACCAAAGTCAACGACATTTTTCCTTCTCTCAGTTTACAATTCTTAAGGCCCTCTCATATTCATTCAAAAGGTTAAAAATATATTTTCGTTAATGTTGCAAGGCTGTTATGATAGTTTTGACACCGAAAGTTTTTTGTCTATTTCTGAATCAAGCTTACTTCTACTCAGTATTAAGTTATGTTCTTAATTCAATAATATAGTAAAGCTCTGTGCCATCATGCAGTTAATAATTATTACTTCAGGACTGTGCCACCATGCAGTTAATAACCATTCTGACATTTTTTATAGGTAGTAAATGTCCTTGTTGCTGTCTTGCTCATCAACCAAAATAAACGTTCTCGAAGGAGCTCGTCGACGCAGTCCCTACGTGAATCAATGCACCAATCGCGTATCTAGAGGGGTTGATCTTCAAGCAGAAAAAAAAAAGACATTTTCTTACAGCTAGTGAAATTCTAGAAATAATAAGCCTTATATCCACTGAAAAGGAAATATCAAAAGTCATTTAGTCAAGAAAGTAGATATAGTTTGTTCTTACAAGAAGCCTTTTTTTTTTCTTCCTTATCCTCTCTAAGAGGAATACTGTATAACTTCACGGTATATAGAGATTTTACTCGTATTAAGTTAATATTAAGAAATTATTTAGCATAATTACTAAAGAACACGTGAGACAGTGTCAGAACCCATTTTTGGAATATGTTTATTTTTTTTTCATAAAAATGAAAAAAATACTTGATTTAGCAAATACTCGAAGTAACGTTTGTGTGTTTAGGATTTTTCCTACAAATACTTGTGTCATTTGAAAACCTGTTCAGAGCTTTTTCTGATATTTTAAACTATATGTGTGTTTTATATAATTATCGTTTCTACACACGTCTAATTATTGGATGATGTAAAACTTAACAGATACTAGTTTTACTTTCATAAAAAGCACATCTAGTCTGAAAGTTATCTAAGTTTTTGAGGTTTTTCTCTTTTCATCAAGTTACCAAAAATGAAGACTGGAAACTTACGGATAACACGTTTATCATTCTTCTTTTCTCGCTGACGTCACTTCCGACAGATAGCGCATAGTTACCACTTAGCGACCAATATGGTGGGTAAAAAACCAGCTTGTCAGTGTTGTAGCTATCAGTGTTCATTTAAGATGTGTACGTGCTTGTTATGTGCCTGTGTCTGGCAATACTCAAAATAAATTGTGGCAAATTATAAACAAAGTAGGTTTCGAATAAAAAAATTAATAAATTGTTAGATAAAGACTAGGAGAGGTACACTATAAATTTATAATAACAATAATACGGGAGTAACTGTGAGGCCTATACCATTATTGAAGGCCCGGTGTTGATAATTTTGGGGTGTAAAATAAAATATAGGCTTCTAAATAACAAAGACTTATTTAATGTCATAGCTACAATGAGCTGTCAGACATGGGTCCAGCCTAAACTTCTACACATAAATGTAGGCGAAGCGCAGATAGCCCTCGTGTAGCTTTGCGCGAAATTCAAAAACAAAAAAAAAAACAAAATGTAGGCGAATATATCCTACTTGGTTGACTGTTTCCCATAGATTGCAACTCTGATATCTATGGTTTGTACGTAACTCTGATATCTATGGTTTGTACATAACCCTGATATCTATGGTTTGTACGTAACTCTGATATCTATGGTTTGTACATACCTCTGATATCTATGGTTTGTACATAACTCTGATATCTATGGTTTGTACGTAACTCTGATATCTATGGTTTGTACATAACTCTGATATCTATGGTTTGTACGTAACCCTGATATCTATGGTTTGTACGTAACTCTGATATCTATGGTTTGTACGTAACCCTGATATCTATGGTTTGTACGTAACAGTTACGTACAAACCATAGATATCAGACTGATATCTATGGTTTGTACATAACCCTGATATCTATGGTTTGTACGTACCTCTGATATAAATTGTTTGTACGTACCTCTGATAAATATTGTATGTACGTACCTCTGATTTACATTGTTAGTACGTACATCTGATTTAGGTGGTTTGTACGTACCTCTGGTCTAGCAGGCCTGTATGTACTTCTGACTTACATGTTTAAAATAGCTTCTCTATAACTGGACCACATTTGAAGACGTAACTCCGACATAATCTTAGGTTTTCAAACGAATTAATATTAAAAGATGTCTGAAAAAATAAAAGTATGTGACTTTCCTTTGCGCAGTTGTAAGAGTTTATAGTGTTCAAGGTTCCTCTTTAGTAGCGGTATTAAGAATTATATCAAATACGTTTGTGAATTGTATCTTCTTCGAATTATATCATGTAATATTTGGTTTGTTTGTTGTTATTTTTTCCCTCGTACTGCTATTCGTATTAAAGAACGTTTGCTTTATATTGATACGGTAATATTGAAATCTATACATATAAGTTGAGTTTTACACGTAGAGTTCAGCGTTGTTTTTCTTTGATAAAAAAAAACTTCGAATGTTGAACTGATCTTATGAAATACTTACAGAATAAAAGTATTTAAACATTACTCCATCTGATACAACGATAGTTTGAACTTACTTGTATTATACAAGAAGGCGTTCGGTCATCAAGGCTAACGTTAGCTATTGGCCAAACACTGTGAATAAATTTGGCAGCATGCCAAGGAAGATGGTTTCCCGATCTTTTTAACCATCCATTGTTGTGTGTGTGACTACTGTGGCTCCCTCTAATGTAATTTAAAATGAGCAGAAGAAATGCACTAGATTGATAATGCGAATATTGACCATTTTACTTCTTATTTCTTGTCACCAGTGGTCAACATTCTTTTCGTAACATTTCATTAGATAAAGAGAATTTTTTACAAGAAGAAAAATGTGAAAATAAAATAATTTTATATGTGTATAATTATAAAAAGTATCCTGTGTGTACGTCAATGTGATGTTTGCAATAAACATATTGATATTAGTTGTATGTATTATAACCACAGTAATTGTAACTAAGCTTGGCTTATTTATTTAAAAATAAATACAGCGAGGAATCCAATGTTCTTAAATCGAGGTTAAAAACCGAAGAACTATGAGAAATAGAATAATGTTCTCCTTAATAAGACGATTTTACAAAACTTCACAGATTTAAGAGCTTTTGAGGAATTTTATTAGTTAAGGATCTGTAATCAAAAGGCTTTATAAAGTAGGTTGGCTCGGACAAATATTCTACATAAATAAAAAATTCAAAATTTTCGCAAATTATTATTGACTTCCACTATATTTTTACTTTCGTTTTTTCTGCTGTTTTGGTGCTTGTATAATCATTTCTAAAAATAGGCTAATATACAGAGGGAATTCTAAAGCTTTGTATGTCACAAAATGTGAAGAATCACAAAACGTTTGTTTGTAATTAAGGCTATCTGTGCTTTGCCCACCACGGATATCGAAACCCGGATTCTAGCGTTGTAAGCTCGCAGACAAGCCGCGATGCTACTGGGGGCGTTTATAAAAGATTTGTTTGTTTGTAATTAAGCACAAAGCTACACAATGGGCTATCTGTGCTCTGCCACCACGGGTATCAAAAC